ATGATTGCCATATGGTGTTCTTTTTTCTTGTTATATAAACTTTTAATTAACGTTTTTTTATTTTTTCTGTTGCTTACTAGGTTTTGTCTTTTTTGCAAGCACGCATGACAGAAGGTAAGCTTTATGTCAAAAAATTAACATTGTACCCAAAATTAATTAAATTATCTGTAATGTGCTAACCGCTTTTTATAATCTTGTGAGACAACAATTTTTAGTCAGGAAAAGACGTGAAATGTTGTGCCTATTGCTTCCAATTTGTCAAAGTATTCCCTCCTAGCTTGAAAGAAAGTATTATGGTTGTGGAGTGAGGGTGTTTTTATGCTGTCAGTGAAGGTGTGTTTTTTCGACTGCTACATGAAATAAGTTTTTTAGCCAACAAGTGATAACACTCCTTTACCCCTCCCCCTTCACCAAAAAGTTTTTGCTTCTCTTCCCAGGTAAAATAAGGAAATTATCCAGGCATAATTTTTCATTCATATGAAGATGAACCTCAAAAACACGATCTATGTTCAACAATTATGAAATAAATATTTTTATTTACATATATTAAAGAAATAACTTTTATATCTCAATTGAGTTGACACAAGCATTGTCTGTAACTGGAAAACAAGGCATCCAAATATGCAATAAATAATCGCCCACTTCACCAACATTTGTATGCGGAATTCTTTATGTACACTATGATAAGAAGCAAATCCTTTTTTAATTTTTGCCTTTTTTCTTTTATTGGCAAAATTACAACATTTGTAGTGACAAAAATGTAATGGTTTTGATTGATTACCTACACATTATTCCTAGCTGTAATAACTTTTCAATTACATGAGCTCTATCATCGTACTTTTGTTATAATTTTGGTGTTGTCTTTCAGGTGTGGATTGCGGGGGAGCTCAGTTCCCGCTTGGAATGAGTAATCAGTTTATTATGGATTCACAAATCAGGGCATCCTCCACCTGTAACTGTACAACACATCCACCTGAGGTAAAAAGGATTACTGCCCTCAGTGGCACACTTTGAAATTGTTTTCATTTTTGTTAAAAGTTGTTACCTTCATAGCATCATCCATCCAACTTGTAAAATAAATGTGAATCTTAGTGGCTCTATTAGAAGAGTGTGAACAACAGTTAATTAATTAATTAATTACTAAATTATTCACTTGGTTTCATTCTCGCTTATTCTCGGGGCAAATATCTGGGCATTTTCACTGCATGACAACCATCACAGTGAAAACAAAGGCCGAAAATCTCAGAAAACGGTACTTTGAGATGGTTGTTGAGACTCCCCTGAGCAGTGTAACAAGATTACCCCTGCGTTGTTCAGGATTACTTCAAAGTTTAGTTCATGTTGTTTTCTTGAATTTTCACCGGCTCTTCGCTCAGCATTTCGCGTTCCACAGCAGCTCGCACAGAGCCTATAGAAATACATAATCAAGTGGTGCCTGGCAACCATCGCGGTGAAAACAAAAGCTAAAAACTAGCAGAAAACGGTCCTTTGGGATGGTTGTTGAGACTCCCCTGAACAGTGTAACAAGATTAGCCCTGCATGTGTAACATATATGAATTTGCTTGTTCATGATTACTTCAAAGTTGAGTTCCTGTTATTTTCTCGATTTTCACCGGCTCTTCGCTCAGCGTTCTGCATTCCTCAGCAGCGTGCACAGAGCCCATAGAAATACATCGTACAGTGATGCGCGTCTTAGCAACGTGAAACGTCTTGTGACGTAGCTCCGCCCCCGAAGATTGTGTTGATAGCAAAATGTGCTAAACTGAACCAGAGAATAAATCAAATCCACAGTAAATATTTTCTCTTCTACATTACTTACAAAATATGATTGGTTTGACCGAGGACACGTTCCTGTCATTCAAAGTGCTCCTATTTTTTAAATCATGACAGTTAGTAACAGCACCCTCTGTGTCATATGTTGCATATCTTTTGTTTTTTTCATGTGCTTGGTTATCTTCTTACATTGGCGATCCGCTCCGCTAGGATTGCCCTTATAATCACTTTTGTCGTTTTGTGTGTGTGTGTGTCTGTGTGTGTACATTTCCAGTGTTTTCACGTATGATTTCTTCTGTGATTTTTTTGGCTTGGCCGATTTCTTTCAAACTTGGCAGGTAGGTCACACCTTCACCCTAGTTATAAGGAAAAATCTGAAAAAATTTTTTGGCTCACCGTTGCCATAGCAACAGCAAAAAAAACTGGTTTTTGCATAGCTTCGCGTCAAATGTATCTCCTCCTACAAATTTGGGATAAAACACTTCAGACATAGCTCATTCTACTCAGCTTGAGTGTGGGCACAAAGTTACTATTTGAATTTTTGATATCTGTTGGGGTAACTTTTCACCAGCAACGGCTCGGCTGGTTTTGTTCATACTTCACAGGTAGGTCGTGCCGTCACTAATTGGAAAAAAATCCTGGCCCACCACTGCCATTGCAACATCCAAAAACTGATTTTTGAATACTTTCGCCCCAAATGTATTACCTCCTACCAGTTTTGTACACAGTCAGCTGGCATCGGTGTCGCTGGGTGTATATGATAAAGGGAAGTTGTGCAACCAAATTTGCTGAGTTCTCAGTTTTTCGCCAATAAAAAAATAATTAAGGCAACAACTCACGGTTTTTCGTCATTTTTGTAATAAAGACATTATTCTCTATCAATAATCCGCCCAAAACAGGAACATTTCTACTAATTCTTGTGTTTTTTCGACGTTTTTCGAAAAACGTGCGATTAGGCTGCGAAAGTAGAACATTCCGGAGGGAGCGAAACGGAAGAGCCAAATTTAACGCGTAAAAATAGAACGCGTATTTTGACCTCTATGCGGTCCTTGCCAAAGAGCCCCGCGTCCATCGCCTGGCGATGCTCTTCTGTTTCACCAGTTGCGTTTTTTTGACTAAAATGTGGGCAGTACTGTCAGTCACGAAAATTGATGAATAAATTAATACACATAAAATATGAATCACGGGCTAATTCAATGGTCACCGAACACTCCACTACTAAACAATCTGTGCTAAGATAGTAAGTAGCGTACTGTATATTTGACAAGCGTGGTACAGTTTTTTGCGCGTGTCCGTAATAACGCGCACAGGATTGTGGAACAGAGTTCTTTATTTGCTGGCATTCTTGACTTTTGACTGCAGTTCTTTTTTATATTTTAGAGTAAATGCTTCTGATATGCTCTTACATTGCTTAATACCCGTCTGAAATTTTGGACTGTGGTCATATTTTTCGGTTAGGAGTCCTATATTTAAATAACTCACCGTGACTAGTGTTTTACTTTACGAAGTATATTATTATGAAGGTCAACACACTGTACTTTAGTTAAATATTTATCATTTCGTTATTTCATTATTTCGCTTTCCAGCTTTTACTGGAAACGCTTCATTCTAGAAAATGCTATCGCAAAACGGTTGGAAATAATAAATGTAACAGCAGAATACGTTCTAGCACAGTCACTCTACTAGGAGATTGACTGTGGTCCTCGTAATAAACTAAGTGACTTCTAAAGACTGAATGATGTTTGCGAACTTCATATTGGTTATAAACCGACGTTAGCTTCACGTTTATGTCAAACCATGGAAACAGCCAAAAACATCTTGCTTGTTTTTGAGCGGAGCGGATCGCCAACCAGCCTACCGGCTTGTTACATGTACTTCCTGTGATTGGTTACTAGTATTTGAAAGTCCAATAAAAAACTTGTTTTTGAATTATGAATTGTATACATGTATTTTAAAAAATTTTCATTGTGAAATGTGATTTTCTGTTTCAAATAAAATGGGTATAGTTTTTATTGTACTGGAAATGTATGTTATTCAGCAATTTGAGGTTGTCTACATGTATGGTACTAGTATTTGTTCGGTTAGTAGTGTGTAGTATTTCCTCTAAACCATTTGCAAAGTTTTCTCAGTACTAGATTTAACCGGAGCAGAGCCCATAGAAATATGTAGTACAGTGGTACACGTCTAGAACAATCAGTGATTTAGCTCTGCCCCTGAGAATAGAGAAAATACAGTAAATAATACAAATGGCGTTTAAAACCCTACACATCTTCATACATGTATGAACATCAGTTTTTAATATTCATGTTTTCCTTGCATTTTCACATTTGCAGAGTTTCAGATAGCTCAGTTTATTAACAACAAAACACATAGCAGCAATATTTAAATGAGTCAGTATACAACAGTGATTTTTGGTTTATATGTGTTTAAATAGAGCACATGTGGTATGAATTCTGTAAGATACTTTATTTTTGCTTGGAAATAATTTTTGCTTCTGCTAATAATAAAATAGTTACTAAATACGTTTCCGTGGTAACATGAAGTTGCTTGTTTCCATGGAAATTGAACACAGTCGCATATTTTTGTCAGTTTACCTATAGTGTGGTACTAGACGACAAAATATGTTGGTTTAAATATAAAATTGTTGTAGGCACCTATTTAAAAACATATTATTTAACTGACATCAAATGCAGCTTTTCCTTGCGCGATCACGCACAGGTTCATGGAGAAGGCCATAGATGGTCACCTTCAGCAAAACCATGCAAATCAAACAATGGTTTGTGGCATCACAAATGATAATTTTTCACATAATAATCGTTGTTTGCCTGTAAATGTTTGTTGTTATAGAAGTTCTGTAAACAATTTTTCAACCGAACAACAAAATATTATGGATTCAATTAAACTTGTACATGCAATCATCCCAACTGAAAGTTTAATTTGAACAAATATCACAAAGAAGGGTGATAATTATGATGATCATGGGAAATGGCAACTAGAAGCCATATCGAATTGGCATAAATTACAGTTTCTGTTATTTTGACACTCGTAGTTGGTCATGTGATGAAAAGGATGATTTGTAAATTCATGGAGCAGGTTGATACTAGTCGTGTCAGTGACTGTACCACTTTGGTTTATGGATAATATTAGCCAATGACGTCACTCATATCAACCAGCAGCTGTATGTACAAGCGATGTCTGCAGATAAATTGAAATTACCCTATTGGTTGCTGGTAGCAACATGCATTATGTTTATTACTTTTTTATCTTTACAGAAATGGTTGTGATAGAGCATTGAATATACACCATAGCAGGGGCTATGTTAGGAGAAACGGCTGACTCAACATCACAGAGTGGAGAAGGTCAAACATCTACAGAGGTATGTAGACTACTACCGTTAAAATCCTATTATAAACCACGGTTTATATTACAATGTATCAAATAAAAAATTGGGATCAACAGCTCAAGTTCGGGGTGCGGTTTATATCAGGTACATATTGCAATCACTAAATGGGTGTGGTCACTTGCACAAAACAAACAATACACCGTACAATCTTTTGAATATAAGCTAACTCCAATTTAGATGTCAGGGAAGAGTGATAAGTGTCACGTCACAAAAAAACTGTTTACATGAAAAAAAAATACTTGGTATTATCTAATGTAATATGCATTTATTTATTTTTTATTTTCTTCGTCACGGAAAGTATATTCTGACAGGAGTTTCAAATAAAAACAAACATTAATGCATTGCTTAGTAGAAAATGATCATGGTACGGCACTAAAAAAGTACGATATCGTGGGTACGGTAACGCAATCCGGCCATGCTTCAGCTCACAAGTGAATAACTTACTTGTTTTCGAACTGTTGAAATTGTTGATTATTACTCAGTAGTGATTATAACAACGCACGAAAAATAAATTCGTTGAATTGTTATCAAATGCAAGTAAAATTCAACTTAGTTTCACCGTAAGCGAATTATTTCGGTCACATGTATACGATCGATGCGACATCCGAGATGTAGTTTGAATGCACATGAGACGTTACTTGACCAGGTAGGTCAAGTCACTAATTAACCAATCAAAATGCTGGATGGTGCTCACCTGTTCAAATTACCTTAGTTCATTTAAATATGTTAATGACAGGTCACCGACTTCATGGTAATCGAAACCCGGAAGCGATTTACCGATAATGTAGTGCGATCTTTTGGCTTTGATTTCCATGGGAAAACGACATGCCTTTTTATTTAAATCAAGAAATTACTTGTTTTCGAAAGATGAACTAAGCATCGAAAAAGAATTTAACAGTTTTTCGGTGAGAACAGCTCATTGTCGAAAACTTGCGATACACGGACGTATTCATAAGGAGTATTGACAAAAGTTGTCATAAGACAAAATCAGTTTCACTGCGTGTTTGACATCCTAACACTACTGAACACTATTGAACACTACTGAACAATAAAGAGGTGTGAATATTTTTAGGCACGTTGTCGAAACAAATGAATAGGATTAGAAACAATGTACCAGCTCATTGAAACAAAGTCGGTCATGGTCTTGTTGAATTGGGGGTGTGGTTAGTAATAGGTACTTTTCATGTTTTCAATTTTTGTTGAGAACTCTTTAACACTGAAGCCGAAATCAGGGGTGCGGTTACTATTAGGTATGCGGTTTATAATAGGATTTTAACGGTATATCACATGTTATGACCTAAATGCACCATGTACACTTTAAATATTTTCAACTTTGTTTATTTTTTCTGTAGAGAAAAGCCCATTCAGATATCTATAGAATGTTTTGGCGGGTTATTCTGTGTATCATTTGCCTTAATTGCATTGCTTCAATCCCTATTATCTGAAAAAACTTGTGTTATTTAATCGCAAAAGGAAAAGTTGAAATTATATACTATACATACATTTTCTATAAATCCCAACTGAAATTAGTTTGCCAAACTAGTTTTTATACTTTAAAAACTGATGTCTCCTGTGCATGGTTTAATATTTTATGCCCAAAGTGTGGTCCAACACATTGCCTGCTGTGAGCCTCTATAGATATACCAAAATCAATGGGGGGGGGGTTGTGTCAGCACATGTCCACCCAACACTAGGGATAACAGATTCATGGGCTGCACGCCTCTGCTTGTCTGGCTTCCTAAGCTGATGGCATTCAGTGTTGAGAAAATGACATCCAGTCAGAGGGGATGTAAAACTGTCGGTCCTAAGTGATATTTCTAAATTTAGTGCACATAAAAATTCATAGCATCCTTGTTATAAGGAATAGCAGATCACAGCAGAATGATGGAACTTTCTCTCAAACAGGTCTCTGTGGGAGATCAGTGTTATTTCCTGCTGAATATTATGCCTTGTATAAATATGGTCAAATAAATAAACTTATTTCTGAGCCCCTACCATGAAAAACTATCAATTGAGATTTGATGCCCTCTCAAAGAAAACAACTGCAGATCCTAATGTGCTGCTTGGAATACCATTACTGTGATGTCATTGGTGATGTCATTGTTGGCAATCGCATGAACTATTGTTGAAAACTTAACTTTAATCACTTTGCTGTATGATTAATGTAGTTAGGGTTAGGGGTTTCATTAGCATTTCTAGTGGTATGGGTTGATATTTTGAGTAGGGTTAGTGGTTTCATTAGCATTTCTCGTTGCATGGATTGATATTTTGAGTAGGGTTAGTGGTTTCATCACAGGGAGCCCTGGAACTATGACCAACTGTACGCACGCCCTATGAGCGGGACGGGGGGAGAAGGTGGTATCGGCTGGTATCTAGTGTAAGAAATAGACAAGGGATGAAGGCTCCAGCCAGCTCATACTTTTTAAACTGGAAAAAACAGACGAACAGAATGGAAAATAAAATCAATAAAAAATACCAGGTTGAAGTTTATTAGTTGCTCTTTCAAATTTCGCCAAAGCCTTACCTACATTTTACCGATATCTGCAGAATAAATCAAGAAAACTACACAAATCAACTCCATTTGCGAATACTTAACGGTTTGCCCGAACGCACGGCACAGTTTGGAGGCGTGGCCTGTTCAGCATTTGTCAACAACCAATCATAAGACTTGTTACGAACCACATCGAGGTTAGCCTTGGTTTGTAACCAGTCTTGTAATTGGTTCTTTGCCTCTAATTTTTTATGACCTGTCAAAGGAAACTCTACTTCCTGGCTTCTTAGTTATGGCATATGTACATAACTGTACATATATTACCATATTGACGTCATTGTCATTGATTTTTAACTACTAACAAACATAACCTGACACGTGGCATGACTTTCCAATGCTTGTAAATTTGTTGTTAATGCTACATGTTTTAATGCAAGCCCCCTTCTCTCCCTTAAAAAACTTACCACTGTAAAATACTTTATTTTAGCTAAAATTAATTTTTACTGTCATTATTAGCATTCATTTAAAACTTTGTTTTAACAAATTTCAAATGGCACGACTTTTCACTGCTCTGTGTTACTGTGCAGTTTAGGGGTTTCCACAACTTTTCTGGTAGACGATGTGCACTTTCGGAATGCAGACTTTCAGTAATGTCACTTTATATTTAAGTTGTTTGTTGAGATATACACATGGTGAGTGGCTGTTGATACTGTAAACCTGATTTTATTTCACACAGACACTTTTTTTAATATCGCAAGTCAGTGGAAATGGCCTAATTTTGTAGCAGTAAAAATTTCTCTGATGCAGAGTGTAAAATTTTGTTTTCGTGGATGTCATTTTACTTGTGGATTGTTGATGGATAGCTGTAGTTGCGTCAAATTATAGAGGGCGCTGTAACTGAAATGTATGCATTAATTATTCACTGGGTTTTAATTGAACTGTTTTCGCAGATAAGATAATTCACTAAGTTTAAAAATTACGATAGAACTCATCATTTTCCTGGCATGTAACTTGTGTATGGTAATATATATAGTTTTCATGATCTTGTGAGTTTCATGCACATCAAAGAAATTAGGGGGGAGCTTAAAAAAGATGGTGCAAATAGAAATGATTGTAGTTATTGTTAAAATAAAAAAAACAAATACATGCCTTACTAATAAAACACAGAAAAAAACGCTAATGAGTTCTTTCTCAGTATCGCTCATTTGTGTTTAACACATGATATGCTAAATGCTTCCACAGATAGCCAAAGTAAATGGGGAAAAAAATACCGTCAACAGGCAATAAATTAATACCATACATGTATTTGCTCTACTAGAAGCCCATATGCTTGTGTATCTATGGTCAAAATAAGATGTATTTCAATGATTTTAGTGCTATACATAGGCTTCTATTGGATATATGCTTCTAACAGATTAAATACAGCAAATATTGCTAGAGTTGTACTTTTGTACAGCAGTTTAGTGATTGTTTCTGCATTTTTTTTTTTTAATATTTTTTAATATTTTATATTTTCGTATTTTCATATATTTGTCAAGAAATTTTTGTTGTAACCAATTTCTTTAGTCATGATTTTAAATATTTTTGTGCCAGACGACAATTCCAGACATTCAATGTTTACTATTGCCTCTCCTGGCATTTGTGCAAAGGAAGCCATATTCATGTTTGGGACTACATGATAGGGCTGTGTGACAGTCTCTCAATCAAATGGCAATTTAATGCGCTATCTACCAGGCTACCAGGCTCTGTCAAACACAAGCACCTGCGGATCTTTACCAAGCTTCCTCCAAAGTCACATTTGTTAGTGAATGAATCTTGTCACTCTGTGGCACACAAACCCAGCCTTAGGTAGGATTTGAACTTGGGTCTATCGATCATGAGTCTGATACAACAAGGTTCCTCCAAAGTCACATTCATAATTAGTGAATGAATCTCGTT